TGCCAAATTGTTTTCCACGGTGTCTACACCATTTTGCATTTCTCACAATAGTGTGCAGGGTTCTCAGTTTTTCCGTATCTTCATCCGTGCTTCTTTTTTTATTTGTTTTGGTAATAGCCATCCTAATACACAAGTGTGAGGTGGCATATTGTGTTGTGGTTTGGTCTGTATGTCTCTGATGACTGATGATTTTGAGTGTCACTTCATGTAGTTATTGACTATCTTTTTTGGATGAGGGTGTTTCTCTTAATTGTTCAGGATGTTCTCTATTCTGGATATTAATCTTTTATCAGATGTATGATTTGCAATTATTTTACCCCTTCTGTGAGTTGCTCTTTTACTCTATTGATAATGTCTTTTGGTGCACAAAAGGTTTTAATTTTCATGAAGTCCATTATATCTATCTTTACTTTTGTTGCCTTTGCCTTTGATGTCCTATCCAAGAAATTGCCAAATTCATTATCATGAAGCTTTTGCCCTTATGTTTTCTCCTAATCTATTTTATTTATTTATTTATTTATTTATTTATTTATTGAGACAGAGTCTCACTGTGTCACCCTCAGTAGAGAGCTATGGCATCACAATTCACAGCAACCTCACTCTTGGGCTTAAGCAATTCTCTCACCTCAGCCTCCCAAGTAGCTGGATTATAGGCGCCCTCCACTGCACCCAGCTATTTTTTGTTGTTGTTGCAGTTGGCACTGTTGTTCAGCAGGCCTAGGCTGGGTTTGAACCCACCTGCCTCTATGTATGTGGCTGGCACCCTAATCACTGTGGTATGTGCGCTGAGCCTCCTAATCTTTTTTAGTTTTAACTCTTACATTTAGGTTTTTCATCAGTTTTTTTTTTTTGAGACCAAGTCTCACTTTGTCACTCTGGGTAGAGTGCTGTGATGTCTTGGTGCCTCACAGCAGCCTCAAACCCCTTGGTTCAAGTGATCCTTCTGCCTCAGCCTTCCAAGAAGCTGGAACTGTAGGTGCTTACCTTGTCATCTGGCTAGTTTTTGTATTTTTAGTAGAGATGAGGTCTCACTCTTGCTCACGCTGGTCTCAAACTGGTGAGCTCAAGTGATCCACCTGCCTCTCAGCCTCCCAGAGTGCTGGGATTACAGGCATGAGCCACTGTGCCCATCCTTGATAAATTTAGAGTTAATTTTTATATAGTGTTTAGGTAAGGGTCCAACTTCACTCTTGCATGTGGATATCCAGTGTTCCCAGCTCCATTTGTTGAATAGACTTCCTTTCCCACTGAATGATCTCAAGCACCCTTATCAAAAATAAGTCAGATATATGAGGTTTATTTGGGAGTCTCCATTCTGTTCCTTGGATCTGTATGTCTTTATGCCTGTACCACACTATTTGGATTACTATAGCTTTGTTAAGTCAGGAAGTGTGAATCTCCAATTTTGTTCCTTTTCTTTCTTAAACAATTATTTGAGTATTTGAAGTCCTTTTGGATTCTATATGAATTTTAGGATGGATTTTGCTATTTCTGCAAAGAAGGATTTCGGGATTTTGATTGTGACTGCATGGAATCTATAGATAGCTTTGGGTAGTATTGACATTTTAACTGTATCAAGTCTTCTAATCTGCATACATGAAATGTCTTTTCATTCTTTAATTTCTTTTAGCAATGTTGTGTAGTTTTTGTTGTATAAGTCTTTTACTTCTGTACTTTACTAATACTGATTTATTAGTATTTTTTTTTTTTGAGACAGAGCCTCAAGCTGTCCCCCTGAGTAGAGTGCCATGACATCACAGCTCACAGCAACCTCTAACTCCTGGGCTCAAGCGAGTCTCCTGCCTCAGCCTCCCAAGTAGCTGGGACCACAGGCGCCCGCCACAACGCCCGGCTATTTTTTTTTTTTTGTTACAGCCGTCTTTGTTGTTTTTGGCAGGTCTGGGCTGGATTCGAACCTACCACCTTAGGTGTATGTGGCTGATGCCTTAGCCACTTGCGCCACAGGCGCCGAGTCTATTCTTTTTGATACTATAAAGTGGAACAGTTTTTCTTAAAATATTCTTGTCAGTATACAATTAAGTTCATGAACTTGCCACCGTGCACGTGCACTGGCAGCACTGTACAGACAGCCCAGTGAGGTTTCATAACCTTGGTATGTCAGTATCTCACAGTTGTTTTCATGTCAATGAGTGGAGTACTGGTGGCAGTGTCTTGCTGAGTGGTGTTCGTTATTGTTGAGTGTTTTTGTGTGCTATCGGGAGAATGTCAGAGAGTGAATTAGAGCAATGAACAAATATTCATAATTTTCTTATTAAACTTAGCAAGAATGGAAGTGAAATCAGGGACTTGTTAGTCCAAGTTTATGGGGATAATACCATGAAGAAAACAGCAGTGTACAAATGGATTAAACATTTTTCTGAAGTGAGAGAACTGTCACTGATGAAGAGAGGTCAGGGTGGCCAATAATGAGTAGAACTGACAAAAATATTACAAAAATTTGTCAAACTGTGCATCAAAATCATTGGCTGACTGTGAAGGGCATAGCAGATCTAATAAACCTTGATAGAGAAACAGGAATCTTAATGGAAAATCTTGGCCAACAACTCATGGCTTTTGCATCATGACACTGCACCAGCTCACACGGCACTGTCTGTGAGGGCGTTTTTACCCTATAAACAAATAACTGTATTGGGACACCCTCCCTGCTCACCTGATCTGGCCCACAATGACTTTTTTCTTTACCTGAAAATAAAGAATATTGAAAGGAAGACATTTTGATGACATTCAGGACATCAAGGATACTGTGACAACACAAAAAGTATGACAGCATCAAGGGTATTACAACAACAACTCTGGTGGCCATTCCAGAAAAAGAATTCCATAATCGCTCTGAAGGGTGAACTCGGTACCAGTGTCAGTGCATAGCTTCTCAAGGGGAGTACTTTGAAGGTGACTATAGAGATATTCAGCAATGAAGTATGTAGCACTTTTTCTAGGATGAGTTCGCAAACTTAACTGCCAGACCTTGTGTAGAAATGCAACTGATTTTTTTGTGTTAATTTTTGTATCCTGCTACTTTACTGAATTTGTTTATTCTGACAGTTTTTGTGGGGGTGGGTATTTCTGTTATACTTGTGAGGTTTTATTTCTTTCATTCCAATTTAGATGCCTTTTATTTCTTTTTCTTGCCTATATTGCTTCAGTAGTATGTTGAATAGTACTGCCTTGTACATGATTTTAGAGTAACCTTTTGGTTTTTACCATTGACTATGATATTTGCTATGGGTTTTTCATATATGGCTTTTGTTACTTTGAGGTAGTCTTTCTATTCTGAGTTTGTTGAGTGTTTTTTATCTATCATGAGAGGGTGTTGAATTTTGTTAAGTTCTTTTTCTGTACCACTTAAAATCATTGTATGATTTTTGTCCTTCATTTGGTTAATATGCTGTAGTACATTAATTGATATTCATTTGTTGAACCATCCTTGTATTCCAGGAATAAATCCCAGTTAGTCATGATATGTAAAACTTTTAATTTTGGTGAATTAAAAGTTGCTAGTCAGTTTTCTGGTGAATTCAGTTTGCTAGTATTTTGTTGAAGATTTTCACATCAGTGTTCTTTAGGGCTGTTGGTCTGTAGCTTTCTTTCCTTGTAGTGTCTTTGTAGCAAGATAACCTGGCCTCATAGCGTGAGTTAGGATATGTTCCTTCCAGTTCATTTTTGGGAAAGTTTGAGAAGGATTAGTGTTCTTTTCTAAGTATTGGTGACTTCACCAGTGAGGCCGTTAGGCCAGAGTTTTTCCTCTGGGGAGATTCTCAATTACTGGTTCAGTCTCCATCAATGGATCTGTTCAGATTTCCCATTGTTTGTGATTCAGTTCTTGGTAGTTTTTGTGTGTCTAGGAATTTGTTCCATTTTCCATATTCTTTTGTGTTTTAGGGGTTTTTTTATAGTGAAACATTTTAACTACCTTCTTGTTTCTTTTGTATGTGTTCTATAGCTCTTTTCTTCATGATTACCATGGAGATTGCATTTAATATCTACCATTATATCAGCTCATTTTTAATTTATATCAGTGTAATTTCATAACACAAAATCTGTCCCTGTGTGGCTCTGTTCTTGTCCTCCTTTTGTTTTTCGATTTCTCAGAATTACGTCTTTATACACTATGTTCAAAAACAGAGTAATGATCTTTATAATGCATTAGTTTCTTTAATTATGCATAAGACAAAATATGGAGTTATAATCCAAGGTTACAGTACTACTAGCTTTTAGACTATTTTTTAAAAATGTGTTAGTGTCTTAAATCATGTAGAAAATAAAAAGATGAGTTAAAAACTGAAGTACGGCAATACCAAACTTATCTCCTTTCCCTGGGTCATGCTGATTTTTGCGTCTGGGTTGTAGACTGTCTGTGCTGGAGTCAGACTGAAGTGTAAATGCAGTGTCATCTTGGGTCTCGTCTGAGTCCTGCCTTTGCTTGTGTATGCTCACTTTATAATTTACCTGGTATTTCTGTCACATTTGAATGCCTTCATTCTTACAGATCTGGCTATCAAAGAGGAAAAAGAAGACAGCAAAGGTGGTGGGAAGTCACTGCAGGCTGTGAGCAGCCCAGTGCGGGCAGGGAGGACTTGTGGCAGTGTGGGGAGGTGCAGTGTCATCTATCTACCTGTGTCTGCCAGTGACCAGCGAACAGATCCCAGGTTCACACAGGACAGGGTGCTGCCTAGCCATCACAACTCTTGGTGGCTGTGCAGGCTGCTCCAGGAGCAGGTGAGGGATGGGTTGCTGCTATTGTGCTGGGAGCCCAAAATGGGCCAAAATTAACCATAGTTTATCAGTCGTGCCTTCTCTGAAAGTTACTATCCTTCGACAGATTCCAGAGCTCCAAAATGGTCATGTGAGGTAGATTCTGCCCATGTCGTTGCCAGCTCCCTGGTTCTTCCCACCCTACCATCTGCTCGGAATCCTGCACGTGACCTTTTACGTTTTGGGGTTTTTTTTTTTCATGTATCCCTTTTGTACCTTTCTCCTAGTGCCTGAGATTGTAAGGGAGACCCAGGACCTGATTGAGCAAGGGGCGCTTCTGCAAGCCCACCGCAAGCTGATGGACTTGGAGTGCTCCCGGGATGGGCTGATGTATGAACAATACCGCATGGACAGTGGGAACACACGCGACATGGCCCTTATCCACAGCTACTTTGGCAGTACGCAGGGGCTCTCCGATGAGCTGGCCAAGCAGCTGTGGATGGTGCTGCAGAGGTCGCTGGTCACTGTACGCCGTGACCCCACCTTACTGGTCTCAGTTGTCAGGATCATTGAAAGAGAAGAAAAAATTGACAGGCGTATCCTTGACAGAAAAAAGCAAACTGGTTTTGTTCCTCCTGGAAGGCCCAAAAATTGGAAAGAGAAAATGTTTGCCATCTTGGAGAGAACTGTGACTACCAGAATTGAAGGCACACAGGCAGATACCAGGGAATCGGATAAGATGTGGCTTGTCCGCCACCTGGAGATCGTCAGGAAGTACGTGCTGGATGACCTCATTGTTGCCAAAAACCTGATGGTTCAGTGTTTTCCTCCCCATTATGAGATCTTTAAAAACCTCCTGAATATGTACCACCGAGCCTTGAGCACACGGATGCAGGAGCTCGCGGCAGAGGACCTAGAAGCCAACGAGATAGTGAGCCTGCTGACCTGGGTCCTAAACACCCACAGGAGGTATGGCCCTGCATCCTGGGACTGAACAGTCAGGCCAGTGCTGGTCTCTGGGCAGGTATCTATGCCCACGGGCACTGCCTTCTGGCTTATGAAGGTCTTTGTTGTCCACCTACTGGGGGCTTATCCTTGAGGTCAGGGCCCAGCTTGTGGCGTGGTGGTGTGAGTGGTGGAATGAGTGCTGTTGTGGTTGTGTAAGTGGTGGTAAGGTGGTATGAGTGTTGTCGTGGCAAGGTGTCTGGTGGTGTAGGTGCTGTCATGGTGGAGTGAGTGCTGTTGTGGTGTGAGTGGTAGTGTGAATGCTTTTGTGGGAGTGGTGGTGTGGTGATATGAGTGCTCTTGTAGAGGTGTGAGTGGTTTGAGTGCTGTTGTAGTGTGAGTGCTGTCCCGGGAGTGTAAGTGATGGTACGAGTGCTGTTGTGGTGTGAGTGCTGTCATGGGAGTGTGAGTGGTGGTGTGAGTAGTCATGTGAGTGCTATCGTGGGAGTGTGAGTTGTGCTGTGAGTGCTGTTGTGGTGTGGGAGCTATTGTGGGAGTGTGAGTAGTGCTGTGAGTGCATCATGGTGCTGTGAGTGCTGTCATGTGAGTGCTGTTGTGGTGTGAGTGGTTGTGTGAAAGCTGTCGTGGGAGTGTAAGTGGTGCTGTGAATGCATTGTGGTGTGAGTGCTGTCATGTGAGTGCTGTTGTGTGTCGTGATATGAGTACTGTTGTGGTGGTGGCATCTCTGATGCTCTTGTTGGTGTCAGAGTGAGCAGGCCAGTGCTAGGCTGGTTTTCTGCTCTCACTGTGGGTTGGGTTACTCCCTCATGGGCAAATGAGGTTGTTGCCCACTTTGCAGGTGAGGGTGGGTGGAGTCCCAGAAGTGCCATGACCTGTACAGAGTCCTCAGCTGGGGAGGAGACCCCCAGCAGTAATCTGCCCAGCCTCTGGCAGCACCAAGTTTGTTTTTTTCTCCGCAGTGAGCTGCAACAGTTAATCTTATAAAAATAAAATTATAGCATAGAGAATCCTAGAAAAATCCATTATCCTTTCTGCATTTTAGCATGAGATTTTGTCACTTAATGTTTTAAGGGAACATGAGCCACTTCCTGCATGAATTTATGTATGGTAGCAATTAAAAAATGAGGCAGTGGTGGAGGTATTCTGAAATTTTTTAAAATATGGCAGCTGAAATGATAATTTAATTTTGCGTGGTTTTATGAATAGAAAACAATATTAAGTAATTTATTGGAATTTCTTTTTTTCCCCCTCTTGTCACTGCTACAGAGAAATTAAGTAAACTTCATTTTTTAGCAGTGAGATTTGTTTACTGGTAGCTACTGATAGTAGAGAATTTGTACACTTCAATACAAAAGATATGAAGAGAAAGAAAATGTCACCCAAAGGGGATGTGGCTAGTGTTTTTGTAGCTTTACTATATGCTTGGCCCTGGACATCGTGCCCCCAGGCCCTCATGACCCTCAGGCAGTTGTGAGGCAGGAATTATGACCATCCATTATGACCATCCCATCAGGAATGGCCATGTACTCATGGATAGCGAGTGGGGGCAGGGTTCAGGTCCAGGTCCTGGGCTGTGCCTGGCTCAAGCCCCTGGATGGGCTGTGCATTCTCTCAGCACACACAATGTCCAGTTGACCTTGAGTATCTTCATGTTAGCTGTGACCACTCTGTCATAGAGGGCCTTCCCAGGCAGGTGAGCTGCCTTGTCACTTGAACAGACACACTGAATTGGATTCTTAGGGCAAAAGAATCTAGGTAGTCTTCACACACTGGAAGAATTTCAGGGAACACTTCTTCATTCAGGAAGGCCTTGGGTTTCTTAGGATAGTGGACTAGCTATTAGTGATACCATTCAGGGTATTTCTAAGTACATCTTTAGGGAAAGTGGCATAAGATAAGAATTTTCTGAGTAATCACACCTTAGCTTTTTAAGAACCCACCCATATACACAGTACTGTTTCTCATGGAAGCTTTTTTCTAAAATGTGGTGCATGCTTCCTGTCTTCTACACCATACACAGAGTATGATTTTTGTTCTTGCTGATGTGTTTTTCATCAGGTATGTCATGGACTCTGTGTCCTGGTTACTATCTTCCACACAAATTTATGACCATAAAGGCCAGACGATGGTTCATGCCTGTAATTCTAGCACTCTGGGAGGATAAGGCAAGTGGATCACCTGAGCTCAGGAGTTCCAGACCACCCTGAGCAGGAGTGAGACCCTGTCTCTAAAAAATACCCTGGCATTGTGGCAGGCACCTATAGTTCCAGCTATTTGGGAGGCTGAGGCAAGAGGATAGCTTTAGCCCAAGAGTTTGAAGTTGCTGTGTGCTCTGACGCCACTGCACTCTGCAGTGCAGTGCAGAGCAACAAAGTGAGAGTCTTTCTCAAAAAAACAAAAAGAGAGAGAGATTAGTGACCATGACTGCAATGATTTGTTCCCAAACTATAGCAATTGTCCTTTGGAATTCAGAGAAAATTGACTTTGGGACCTCCTTAGATACCAAAACCATCTGAAGCCCAGGTCCCTTGTCCTCGTGGCACAGTATAGGCATATCCTGCACACATCTGCCCATATGCTCTGAACTGTCCCTAGATTACTTGCAGTGCCTGTTACAGTGCAAGTGCATTATAAGTTGTCACACTGTATTGTTTAATTTGTATTATATTTTACTATATTACTGTCTTTCATTGATTTTCCCTAAATATTTTTGATCTCTGCTTGGTTGATCCAAGGGTATAAAACCATGGACAAGGAACCTGTGGTGGTCTAGCTGCATTACTCATTGTAAATGTGTTTGCCTAGCACTTCCTGACTGCCAAGCCCCAGTCTCTGGGGTTCTTTCCTGACTTTAAGCCCCCACACCCTATGAAGCTAGCACGAAACTGAGGCCAGGCTGAGGTGGCCACATGACCACATGAGATTCCACTGCCTCCACAGTATGGGAAGTCTACAGCAGAGAGGCCTTCAGGATGACAGCATCTGCATGTCAGAAGTAGCAGTGGTGGGACTGACTGGGGTGTGTTCCTGTGTCCCTGGTCTGTTTTTCTCATTGCTGGTCTCACTGCAGTGCAGAGATGATGGGGAATGTGGAATTGGCCCCAGAAGTGGACGTCAGCACTCTTGAGCCTTTGCTCTCTCCACATGTAGTCTCTGAGCTGCTCGACACATACATGTCCACACTCACTGTGAGTAGAACCCAACCTGAGGACCCCTGAACTACTGCTGGGCACCTGCAATTTGGGCTTTGGCCATTGGGCAGCAGGAGGCAGGGTGGGAAGCTTCTGTTTGCCAGTGAGAGGAGGGAGCTGACCTCAGGCCCAGGCCATGTGTGGGATCTGCTGGGATCTTGGCCCTGAGTCCAGGCTGAGGGTGACTGTTGGGACTGAAGGGCAGGTCTGGCTGCCTCTGGTGACCATAGGTGGCCTCAGTGCAAGCAGTCAGGTCTGCCTTCTCAAGGCCAGACAGCAAAGACAGGGCTATTACTGCAGTGTCAAGTGTCCCTAGGAAGAGGAGCTGTCTTCCTGTGGGGTCTGCGCCTGGCCAGACCTTGTCCACCCTAGTCTCTGTGCTTCTAGCCAAGAGATGTTCTGGTCCATTCTCCATTTTTATCCTAAAAGAGGCTTTTGATTAAAGTCCATGGAGACTACTGGGCACTGCCCACCACAGAATCAGGGCTCTGTGCCACACTGAGTCTGGTTGACCGGCATGGCTCAGCAGCAGGGCTCAGTGCAGCTCAGCAGCCAGGCTCATAATACCTGTTCTTTTCCTCTTTTATGCATAACGCTGAATCTCCTTTAGTCCAACATCATTGCCTGGCTGCGGAAAGCACTAGAAACAGATAAGAAAGACTGGGTCAAAGAGACGGAGCCTGAGGCTGACCAGGATGGGTACTACCAGACCACCCTGCCCGCCATTGTCTTCCAGGTACTGCTGCGGGGTTCCTTGGGCCATTTCCTGGGAGGTTGTAGGGTCTGCTGGCTTCAGACCAAGGGACACAAGATGCCCTTGGTCTTTATCTGGGAAGCCCGGAGACACTGAGAGCCCTGCCTGAACCACCTAAGTCTTCCTCTTCTCTCCCCCTCTCTTGCTCCCTCATGCTTGTCAAGTCATTTTGCCCAAGGTCACTTAAGTCTTCCTAGTCCTTTGGGGTTTGGTCTAGAGCCTAACCATGCTATTTACATGTGGCTTTCAGATTTGAGTTGGCTTGTTTTTTTTCTATTGTAAGTGGCTGAGATTTTGGCATCAGAAATGTCACATAATTGAGTGTGGTCTGGTGGACTGGGAAAGGTCCTATACATCTTTCCTGTACTCTTCATAGCCCCAGGTATCAGCTCCAGGGTGTTCTCATGACTGAACTAACTCTGGGTGCCCAGCAATCTGTTTCCCACTGTCCTGTCTTGGCATATCATGTTTTCTTCCTTTGAGTGATGTCACTGAGGGCAGGAGCTGAGCAGTGTTAGGAGATCTGCTGGGCCCTGTCTACTGAGGAGTTGTTCAGACTCCAGCCAGGCTGGTGATGATGCCTCTGGATGAGGCTGTTGGTCAGCAGTGGCTTGACCCCCGCCCTGCCCCACCCTCCTCATCCACCCATGTCCAGCTCACCAAGCTTGGCCCCTTCTCCCAGCTCAAGACTCTTAGGAAACTTTTACAGCACAAAGTCAGTAGAAGTGAGTAAAGGTGAAATGCCCACTGGGAGCCCCCTCCTTGTCAGCTGGTGAGGGTAGACAGGTACCCCAATAGAGACCACTCTGTAGGAAAGAAATGATTCACTTGGTCTTTTACTTGGTGAGAAAGTAGTAGG